TTTAACATTTCTATTGTAAAACACTTGTCAAATATTACATGTTTATCTATTGACGTATTACCTTACACTCTTCACCATTAAAACTGACGTGCTGGAATGTTCTGGTTCTGTAAACAGTAAAACGGTTTGATTGGCAATTGATAAGCACTATTATACCTCAGACAGACCACCCTAAACATTTTTAAACTATCCCAACAACGAGCAAAGCAGCATCAATATCAAATATTAGGGGGATAATTTGACCATATTGAGGGGATGTGTCTATGGTCCTGCCTTTTTAGTGATGTTTGTCTTTTTTTTTTTAATTCCTCCATCCACCTTATTTGTAATGTGAGTTACCATTTCTTGCATTTTGTTATTCTTCTAGTGGTTAATGAAGTCTTCAAAAGTCTTGCACATTCACAGAAAAAAGCTTCTGCGTAGCAAAATAAGATATACAGGATACCTCAGACAACATTTCTAAGACCATTTAGCAAAGGCATAACTGCATTTTCCTCAAGACTTCATTAGTTCCCCTTTATTTCCAAGTAAAACATTGGTAAGTTTAAGAGCTGCTTGCAGTTTTCCTAGCAAGCTCATAAGCAAGTACTTAAAACAAGCTAATTACCACAAATTAAGGAACATAACCACAGAGTGAAACATAACTGGATGTTTTATCTTTTGCATTTATTTGGATCACTTGGGAGACCACATCTAGACCTCCTGGAATATTTATGGAACGCTCTCAGTTGTTGGAGGGTCTGGAAAGACAAAATAAATCCAGATTAAATAAGAGAAAACCTGGCCGTTGCTTATATTAGACTCCGTTTCAGGAAGACTCACTTGGCCCATTCCACGTTGAGAATGAGATGATCGTATCCGAAGCCAGATACACCAGCGATGGCTCTGGCAGCGTCCTCACGGCGGTGGAAGCTGATGAAGGCAAAGCCCTGGAGTAATGGGGAAAGAAATAATGTGCACTATTCTTCTGGAGACATTCAGAACTCATATGCTTCATGTCATTTTATTAAAACGAGAGTTTATTTAGGTTAACCATTATGCTAATGTTCCTGCTTTGTTCTTAAACTGAGTAGAAGAGTCAAAGTGAATCTTTAACTTCTCTTTGCTTTGTCATTTGATGGTGAATCTCTTACGGCAGTGTTTCACATCTCTCACCTTAGACTGGCCTGTGTTCTTGTCCTTGGCCAGATAGATCCTAGAGATGGAGCCAAAAGGCCTGAAAAGCTCCTGCAGATCTGTCTCCCTGGTGTCCTCGGACAAGTTGGTCACACGGATTGTTGCATTATCATCAGCTGCAGAGAAAATCTCAACACATTACCATTAGGCTCTTGATTGAGAACATCAGTGTTTGAGATCTGCATGTCAAACACGCACCTCTGCGGTTAGGCTGCATGGACTCTCCTCTGCGCGTACCACCGTCCCGCAGGCTGGGGGGAACATATTTCCCTGTCTTGTTTTGGACTGGTTGGGCAGGCTCAGGCTCTAGAAATCAAAGTGAAATTGTTTAGTTAAAAAAAAAAAAAAAAAACTCAAAATATGCTTAACAGGGCAACATTAAGTTTTTGTACCTGCTGCCTTCTCTTTTTCTCCCGTGGACAGACCCAACTGCTCAGCCAGTTCCTTCTGCATAGGACCAAGCGTGTCCTTATATGGACAGCGAGTGGTCCAGTGATCCCCTTTACAGATACGGCAGGACACGATCTTCTGTCCTTTCAGCTTGTTCATGGGATCTTCATCTTGGTCTTGAGCATTCAAGTCCTGTAAAACAAGCAGGAGAATCACTTCCAAGTTGGCATCGGTACAACAAAGAAGTGAAACATTTTTAGGACTGAAATATCAAGTCCGAACTGAAGTTTACAAAACGCAAACTCAATAGGCAACACAATGATAAAAATAGTTTATCTGAAAATTTGTTGAAAATGGACTCACCTTCAGGCCATCCAAAATGTAGATGAGTTTGTTACTTTATTGGAAGAGTTGGAGAAATGTAGCATTACATCACTTGCTCACCAATGGAGTGAATGGGTGCCGTCAGAATGAGAGTCCAAACAGCTAATAAAAATCACACAACTCAAATCCATCAATAAAAATTTAGTAAAGTGGAAAGCTGCGTGTTTGCAACAAACAAATCCATCATTAAGGTATTTTATCTTTAAATCATCGCTTCTGGCCAAAAGACAGAGTCTATAATACTACATAACTCTTTCTCTAGTCCATCATGTTGTCCTCTCAAATAAAAATCCTCCTTTTTTTAGAACTGTTTTGGCTTGTAAATGGTGCTTGAGCTGTGCATATTTCTCTCCTGATTCAGATGAGACAACTTTTTCCATTGGAGACAGCAATATTATGGATAGAGGACTCACATTTTAGCCAGAAGCAACAGTTTCAAATGAAAAATGTCTTGATGGATTTATTACAAACATGCAGCTTTTCACTTCACAAACACGACAGCTGTTTGGACTCTCATTCTGACGGCACCCATTCACTGCAGAGGATCCACTGGTGAGCAAGTGATGCAATGTTAAATATCCATTCCCATGAAGAAACAAACTCATATACATCTTTGATGGTGAACTATTTTTTTAAAAACATGGATCAGTGCAAAAATGTCATTAGTTTATCACCATCATACCTCTTTACTGGAGATGAAGGTCATGAAGACGTCATCACTCACTGTAGTGGTGGCAACATTGGGACCTGGTGCATCAAATTCCGAGTTGCCAAATTTTTTCCAGTTCTGTTGGAATAAATAATCAATCCCCCCTCAAAAAAAAAATCCATAAATAATATGTTTAATGGAGATATCAATATACTAAAGAAAAATTAAGACACCTTTCTCCTGGCAACTGCTTTGGAGGCCTTCCGCGTCTCAATTTTGAACGTCCTGACAATCTGACCATAGAGGAGCAAAGGACAAATATGAAACCTGATTCTTCTGAAACCTTTTTATAAGTACTATATCATTTTAAGAAGAACTCTGCTGACCTTAGACTTCTGGCCATCTTCATCAATCTTGTATTCTGTGACAGTCTTGATGTTACCTTTGACCGTCTCTTTTGGTGAAGGGAGTGAACCTGTTGAAGAAAATTATAAATAGATCTGTTACAAATGCATAATTATGGTTAGTTTATACGGCATGTCAAGCAGTCACAGTATGCATGTATACAAACTAAGACTATTTTAAAAAGCATTTATCTCGCACATGAAATATACCCTGTTCTTTCTACACTCGTATACTATTTTACACAAAATCCTTGATGTTAAAAACATATGCGCCCCTGCACAAGTTATTTTTAGCCCTAATTCTTAATCGAATTCTAATATATCAATACACAATTTAACATGACAGTATACGCTGCACAACACATTAAGATGTAATATGTCAAAGAATAACAGCATGATGTATAATATATTACAGCTGGGTGTAGTATAGCATAAAACAAAGTAATATAGTATAGTACATGTGTTTATAATATAATGTAGTAGCATTAGTACAACACAGAATAGTAGCCAAAGCACCAGCAGCCTTTTTCTGTCAGGCTGACATGCCGCTAACCAACTGTAACTTTCACTATAGGTAGACTATTTTTATATCTGTAAAGTTTGTTCTCATATCGATTAATGTAATGAGTGTAGTTTAATCAAGGAGTGTTTAAACACGTGCGTGTGCGTGAGGCTGCGCTGCGGCCTCGTACCTTCATCTCCCTCTTCCTCCACCTGATCGGCCCAGCTAGGCTTTGAGCTGTCGAAAACACAAGATATTAGATGCCTATTAAGTTGGAGTAAGCATAAACAAAACTATATGGTTTCATTCATATGAAAAACTCACTCGTCGAATTCGATCGACGGCATCTTTACGGGTTGTCTTGAGCCTCGAGAGGAAGCGTTTCCCGGGACTGCTGTTGCGGAGAGGAGACGCCGCACCACAGCGCCCTCTTTGCGTGCGGAGGACTGCAGTGAGACACGATATGAAGAAGAAGAGAGGGAAAAGTGTGCTAAAATCAGCTAGTATGGACTTCTGGACCAGGAACGCGATAGAGATCAAACATATAAACCTTGAGTACAGTCTAGAACGGCTTCAAAAAGCATCTAGAACGTAGGAACATAACAAAATGCCCTCATAAATATATGTACCCACAAAAATGTCAATGTAACCAACCACAGCTGCTTCTTCCATGAGATGCAAGCCACGATTTTGAGGTTATCTATAGTTATATATTATGTTTTTAATTGCAGTATTTGTTCTGCAATGTTTTGGCATTAACTGTGCTTACAATGGATAATGTTCTGGGCTATTTAATGATTTTATGTATTGACCATACCTTAAAACATTTTAGTTAGTTTATATAGGCTGTAAGTCAGTCATCATCCTTACAACTTAAACAGTCTTTCTTTAAATAATTTATTCAATGGACATTAGTATTACACTAGTAACTAGCTAACATTTAGTACGCTACTGGTCTTGCCCGAGCAGGAGCTTGTCCGAGCTTCAGATATTTTGCACACACAGTAGATTTTAAGGGATGACTTTCTCTAAAGCTGCTTTTAACCAATATCTATTGTGAAATTGGCTATAGGCTACAAACTTGGCTTAAGTTGAGTTGCATTACACCTTAATAGCACTAATGTTTTTTCTTTAGGAAGTTTAGGTCTCAGTTCTCTGGATCATTTCTCTCTTCCTCTGTGTTCTTAAACTTGTATGGTCTCGTATGGTTTCTTGTACTTCTGAACAATGTTTAAAATATAATTTGTGACAGAAGTAATATTTTATAGGCTATCATAAAGGACTAAAGTATAATTGGAGACCGATATACCCTAAAGCCATCATTTAAAAAAAAGAAGTACTTAGTTAAATGATTCAGACCAAAATCACCAACATCACAAGTAAATTTGCTTTAATATACTTTTGCTTCATATCCCACATCTCACAAACTCTTCAAAGTGATGTAAAAAAAAAAAAACTGATCCAGTCTTCTCTTAAATATCTTTAATTGGCATATTTTGCAACTTCAAATACATTACTCACATTTTAATGGTCAGTTTTTACTGTCAGATATGTTCTTCTTTGCTGTTGACAACAAAAATGACACAAATAAAATAATTTTACATTTGGTTTGTGGTTTGCAGACGCACAGGAACAGAGTGCAAGCATCAACAGAAATGCTATGCTTAATTTACATTCAGGAAGCCACAGCATGAGGTTTTGGTCAAGATACTGTATGAAGATTAGTCATCTGAGCTCTTTCCACAGCAAGCTGTCCGTATGCTGTCAAACACAGCCATGTATAGAAGCGGATGCAAGCACATGTTGAGGGTGGCCAGGCCTTTTGACACTTGATATAAATCATACACCCAGCAATTCATAAACTTCAGATACGTTTTGTACGTCTGCAGAACATGATAGGGAACAAATGACGTGGCGTAAAGGATGCAGACCAGAGCGACCATCAGTGCTACCTTCCTCTTCTCTAATGTGGTTATGTTTTTATTTTTCAGAACGGTCCAAATCACACCCAAATACGATGCAAAGGTAATTAACAATGGAATCATGCATCCAACAACGGTAAGAAATAGGGTGTACTTAAAATGGGGGATTTTCAGGGTTTTATCATGACATGAGACACAAAGAGTGTTTTTTTGTTCAACTTCGGTTCCAGCAAATTTGAGGACTGGCAATGAAGTGATCGTCACGATGAACCACGTCAGCACGCTTGCGATCTTTGCATGTTTAGGGCGCACGTAGCTCCGTGTGAAGAACGGGAAAACTATGGCAAGGTATCTGTTGACGCTGATGCACATGATGAAGAAAATGCTGCCGTAGAGGTTGCAGCTGAAGAGGAAGCGTTCGATTTTGCATGCAGCATCTCCAAAGGTCCAATCCTTATTTTTGGCATAGTAATTGATGAGCAAAGGCAAGGTCAGGACGTAAAGAATGTCACAGATGGCCAGGTTACAGGAGAACACTACTCCGGTGTGCCAGTTCTGCCTCTCTCTGGTCATCAGGAGCCACAGGGCAAATATATTCCCCACAAGAGCCACACACATCTCAATGCTATACATTGGGGGGAGGAGTCCGGTTTGAAACCCAGCATCACAGAATGAACTGTTGTTCATCTTCCCTGGTGTTCTCTGACCCCTGAAAGAAAAAAAAAAAGAGTTGGTAGCGTCAATCTTAAACCAAAAACCTTGTGAATCCAAGCAGATGACGTGAAAACATTTTTATCTCTAAACACTACTGATTTGCAACTTTTTTTTTTCACAGAAAAAAAAAAAACGGTTTAGCAATCAGAAACACAATATCCAACAACCACATTGCTGCTTATCTCAGGCTTCCCATCTGACCATCTCTTGTAATACTGCTACAGATGCTGAGAAGCCTTTTATATAAACATACAGGTTGCAATGTGGTAATTCGGTTGAAGTTTGATTTTGTTTAACTTGTGCAGTATTGGTAATAAAAATCTTCGACACTCTTAAGTAATAAAGGTTTATTGGCCTCTATGGCTCCATGAAAATCCTTTAACATCCATGTCACTTTAAGGTTCTTTATAGTGGAAAAAGTTTACTCAGGTTATTAAAATGTTCTTTACACAAATTTAAAAAGTGATTCCTTTTTGGAACCTTTGTTCACACTTGTAGTTCGGTTCGTTTGGTTCATTTGGTCCGGACCAAAAAGGAAATGATACATTTGGTCCTGGTCTGCTTAGCGTTCACATTGGCATTTTTGACAGCGAACCTAAAGACAGCGAACCAAGGCATAGTGATACGTTCACAACCTGATTGGTCGGCTTGAATGACGTATATATCGTGACGGAACTCACCGAACACCCCAAACAAAAGGTGCGTTAGACTTAAAGCGTAAGAATAAAGCGTAAGATTTAAGTCGAACACACCTAATGCCTCTGCTGGACTAAGCGCGCTCATTCTTGCGTGTACACAATTTTATTTTCACCACCTGCAAACTAACAAGGAGCTCATAAAAGGCACTTTACCTCATTGTTGCTCCACGTTTGCCCTCTGCTCATTTTGTTTTGGTTACACCGCGTCGTCAAATCATGTCGCATAGCGTCGCATCTTGTCATTACTTCCTGTCATTCCATCTTGTTCATATATCATTCGAACCGCACCGGAGTTCGTTTGGAAGCGGACCAAGACCCATCTTTCCAGCGGTCTCGGTCCGCTTGTTTGGTGCGCACCTGGGTTTGGATGGCAGCGTTCACACTTATTCACACCAGGAAAGTCCGCTAGTTCATTTGCTTTGGTCCAGACCAAATACAATGTTTATTTATTTTTTGTTTGGTGCGGTTCACTTTCACACTGCCCTTTTTGCAAGTGAACCAGAAACTGTAAACAAAACCACATGTGTGCTTAAGGTCATCCATTATCCATTCCATTCAACCGTACCAGAGTTCGTTTGGAAGCGGACCGAGACCACCTCTTCAGCTGGGTCTCGGTATGGTTGTTTGGTCCGCACCCGAGTGCTATTGCTGTATTCACACCTGCCCAAAAGATCCGCACCAA